AAAGTTATTTTTCTCACCACTTCTGTGAATGATTCAAAAGTTGATACAAAAAGACTGTTTATTCCAGTTATCATATTATGAAGCCTTTAAAATGTTGGCAAAATGATCCAAAATCCTGAAAGCTTTAGTTTTCTATTGTCTACCATTCCATAAAATTTTTTAGCTGGTTTTTGCAAACAGTTAAATTAGCTCTTCCTATTTTCAATTATGAACTATTCATAATTATTTAATTTTTTTATAGGATAGAAAACAGAACTAGATGTGTGTTATAACTGTTGAAAAACATTTCCCGAAAACAAGCTAAAATAAAATTTTTATATATATATATATATATATATATATATGTGGGAACGAGGAATAGCGTTCCTACATTTTTACGGAACCAAAGACAGCATCAAAACAATCAGAAGATACAAATAAACACTTTTATTTTCCGCAAAAATGATAGAGTCACAAAAGCTGCGTGACTAACTTAAAAGTAAATTAAAATTCAAAATGGTGTATAACAGAGTAGTAGTAGTTTTGTGGTTTTACAGATGCATATATATACTGGAGAAAATGTGCGATGAATAATTACGACATCAGTATCCTGCAGCCAGTTGCAGTTAATTTCTGACAGCAGAAAGAATATCAGGATCAGAGGTCGCAGGCTCGGTATTCCGATCCACCGGTCTGATCTAGTGAACTCTACAGTACTCCCCTTCTAGTCTGTAAGACGTTTAGGCTTGGAATGACAGGACAAATCGAACTTTTCTTCCAGACCTAGTAGTTACTTCTGACTTTACTTTAGGAGACTGATTGGTAGAGTCTGCAACTTCATCAGATAGAAAATAGGCAGGCTTTAATCTGTCGATTGAAACACTAGATTTCTGTCCTTCAAGATCTAGAACAAAAGCTTTGTTAGTTCGTGAAATTACTTTAAATGGGCCTTTATAGGGCTGTTCCAAAGGACGTCGGACACTGTCTATCCNCACATGGTGCCAAGAATCAATTATAGCTTCAATAAGTTGTCTTTTATTGGATGGACGTTTTTTTCGTACAAGAATTTTTAAACGTAGCCTCAAATTTTCAATTGGATTGAGATCAGGGCTGTTTCCTTGCCATGGTAATATATCTATGTCTTTATTTTGAAACCATGCTTTGCATACTTTTGCTGTGTGGCATGGAGCTGAATCCCGCTGAAAAATAAATGGTGCGTTGTGTGGGAAGAGATCCCTGATGGAAGGTATCAATTTTGGTTTCAGGACAGTTTCGATGTATTTTTTGGCAGGTTTAGAGTTACAGGTTTAGAAAAAGAGTTGCGAAAAAATTCACCTGGAAGGCGTATTGAACAACCATACACCATTTCAACTGGTGTACAATCAATATCTTCCTTTAAACTTGAGCGAATGCCCAACAAAACTGTTGGTAAAACTTCCATCCAGAGCTCAGTTGGGGGGCATTTAATTGCATTTTTCAGGCTTCTATGGAAACTTTCAATAGCTCCATTACACTTTGGATTATAAGCTACCGTCCTGGTTCTCTGTGTTCCCAAAACCTTTGTCAAGGAAGAAAAAAGTTCAGATTCAAACTGACGACCTTGATCAGTTGTGACAGTCTCCGGAACGCCAAATCTGGCTATCCAACCAGCAAAGAACGTTTCTGCAACTGTGTCAGCTGTCTGATTCTGCATTGGAAATGCCTCAGGCCACCTAGAAAAACGGTCAATACATGTAAGTATGTACCTGTAATCTCTTGACGGTGGTAAAGGACCCACAATGTCTATATGAACATGCGAAAATCTGACACTGGGAAGTCCATATTCTCCTAGAGGTGATTTCGTGTGACGTCCAACTTTAGATTTCTTGCATGAGAGGCAAGTCTTGCACCAAAGCTTTATGTCTTTGGTCATGGATTTCCATACGAACCTTTTCCTGATGAGGTCTAAAGTTACTCTTCCTCCGGGATGAGATAAACCATAAAAAGTCTGAAAAATACTCCAACGAAAGTCTTTAGGAATGTATGGTCTTATATCACCAGTAGAAATATCACAAAAGATCATTTTTGAATTTGGGAGATTCATAGGTTTAAGTTCGAGACCGGAATTAGACTCAAGTAAAGAGTGAAGCTCCGTGTCATTAACCTGTGCCTCAGCAATCTCTTCAAAATTGATATCACTTGAATTATTAAAACTAAAGGAAGAAATTCTCGAAAAAGTGTCAGCAACTATATTTTCACTACCGGGAATATGTCTTAAATCCGTAGTGTACTGACTAATAAACTCTAAATGTCGCATTTGTCTTGGAGAGCATTTCTCACTTTTTTGTTGAAATGCGTAAATGAGAGGTTTGTGATCAGTGTACACTAAAAAATTTCGACCTTCAAGCATGTGCCGAAAATGTTTGATTGCTGAATAAATTGCAAGCAATTCCCTATCATAAGTGCTGTATTTTTGCTCTGCAGCATTAAGTTTGCGAGAATAAAAACTCAAAGGCTGTAATTCATTGTTTACTTTTTGTTGCAAAACTGCACCAATAGCAGAATCTGAAGAATCTACAGCAAGAGATAAATTTGCATTTGGCAATACAGCATTTGCAATCGCATCTTTAACTGTCTCAAAAGCAGAAATTTCCCTGCCAGTCCAAATTTGAGGTGTTTTATCTTTTTTAGCTTTTCTCTTAGTTAAATCGTGTAAACAGGATTGGATTTTAGCTGCATCTTTAAAAAAATCTGAATAGAAATTTACCATAGCTAAAAATCTGCGTAATTGTTCTACAAATTTCGGTAAAAGAAAGTCTCTTAGAGCTTTTACTTTTTCAGGTAGAGGCTGAATACCATTTTTTGAAACTAAATATCCCAAAAAATTAACTTCATTAACACCGAAAACGCATTTTTCTAAGTTAATGATTAAATTGAAATCGTTTAAACGTTTAAGAACCTTGTCTAAATCCGATTTATGCTTTTCTTCGGTTTCAGAGGAAATGAAAATATCATCCAAATATGCTATACAACAATCCATGTCTCTTAAAACATTATCAATAAAACGTTGAAATGTTTGTGCGGCATTTCTTAAACCGAAAGGCATAAATATATATTCAAAAAGTCCAATTGGTGTGATAACTGCTGTTTTAGGTATATCGGAAGTTTCAACTCTTATTTGGTTATATGCTTTTACTAAATCTAATTTAGAAAATACAGTTTTTCCATTTAAATTATGCGAAAAGTCCTGGATATGAGGTATCGGATATCTATCAGGAATAGTTTTGGCATTTAAACGACGAAAATCACCACATATTCGAAATTCTCCGTTTTTCTTTGGAACTAAATGTATCGGGCTTGCCCACGGGCTTTTAGATGGACGAACAATACCTTGCTTTATTAAATCGGCGAATTCTTTACGAACAATTTTTAATTTCTCAGGCGATAGACGTCTTGCTTTAGAAAAAACCGGGGGTCCAAATGTTTCAATGCAATGTGTCACACCGTAGTCTTGGCGCGGTGCATTTTGATTGAAACTTAAAATATTCGGATATTTGATCAACAAATCATGATAACGGTTCTCTGATGAGACCAAAGTTAATCCAAATGATGGTCCAGGACATGAAATGCCCTTAGAAAAAACTGTTGTCAAACTGTCAAGTAATCGACGATTTTTAACATCGACCAACAGTCCGAAACGTTCCAAAAAATCCGCACCAATAATAGGGCTTGACACATCAGCAATGATAAAATTGAAGTC